AAAGAAGGAGATTTTAATCCACACAGAAGTTCCACAGAAGAAAGGTCTGCTACCCTATTTCCAGACACAAGAGCCATGGGAAATCCTGGGGAGCGTACTTCCACTCTGAAACACATGGGCCCACCATGAGTCAGAACTGACTCAAAGGCCATGTGTTCAGTTCAGATGAATGACAGTGCTGCTCATTGTCAGGAGCAGGTGTTCGGTGATCACTGGTCTAGCGCACAGAGTATAGAGCAAGAGAGGTAGGAGAGGGAGGTGGGATGAGAAGATAGGGGGTGGCTACCTTCTATGGCCCCAGAGAGCCCCCAGATAATATTGTTGGGTTTTAAGTTCACATTCCTAAAATGAGATGATTAAAAGCAACAGAAAATTGTTGCTCATTTGTTTGCTCTTTACAATACTGCTTGATGTGATTGAACTATGGAACAACATAATGTCTGTATGTTTCCCAATAAAATAGTTTGGGGAAAAAAGAAGAAAAAAGCTAAAGAACATAATGATAATAACAACAAGGAAAAGAAAAACATCAATTTGTGCTGTAACATGTGAAGATCACACCATGAAAAAGAGCAGTAGGTGAACATCTGGTGGCGGGGGCAGGCGGCAGGGGTGGCAGGGGGGATGCCTGCCCACCCTAGAGAGTGAGCTTTCTGAGAGCAGGGGCACATGTGTCCTGGGGCACAGCCAGCCCACCATGGGGGGGGAGGACATCGAACTGAGCACCAGTGGTGCTCCGCCAACACTCAACAGCCGACACTCCTGGTGAAGAAACAAACACACCATTCGAGATCACATACTTTTCTTTTGCTTCAATATGTTTCTCAGAACTCACAAAATGATTCTATCTCTTTTTTTTCTGGTGCCCTTTTTTCCTTCAAGTTAAATTTCTCTTCAGCCCTTGAAAAAGATGACAAATAAGGAATCGTAAAAAGCCTGCTCTGTTTTTTTTAGAGCTGGTGAGGCAGGAGAGGCCACACCGCTCTCTTCTGAAGTGCGTCCCTGGTCCTGGCGTTACTGAGATGGCCAGGATGTCCGTATGCAAGGCACAGACTTGTGCCCATGACGTGTATTCATGAGCCCCCTTCAAACTCGCCAGATGATTTTAATCAACAGGGTGCAAACATCGCACACATAAGCTATGAGTTTACCCCAAAGAAATGGAAGCATTGAATTCACGCAGAATGAAGTCATCAGAAACAGAGAGGAGGCGGGGTGGGGGAGAAAAGAA